GTGTGTGCGGTTGTGTGGCGGTGGTGGTTGTTAGCGGTTCCATCTGGGTCTCCTGGAAGCTGTGTGGAGTCAGGAAAACCACATCTCATAAAAGCGGAGGCAGCCCAATGTTCTACAAGGACAGAACATTACTGAAAATGTCGCTCAGGAAAACCCTGGGCTTCAGCCCACATGTTGGCTGCAAAGGCTCTATCTCTCTCTCTATTTCCACTCAGTCTTTCTCTCTCTCTTTACTTGTTTTTTTACTTGGTACGGGATAAGAAAGAAGAAGACAAAATAGACAGCAGGGAGTGTGGGAGACAGAGGCTGAGACAGAGAGAAGCCAGCGCTGATAGCAATTCCATCTGTCGGTATCGAACAGAGGAGTGAGCAGTGACAGGCTGCGGGATGGGGCGGCGGCGGCGGTGGTTGTCTTGGAGGGGTGGGGGCATCTGGTGCACATTGGCCGAGGGTCTGTCTGGAAGCAACCATGGGAGAGGAGGGAGGACGGAGGGAGAAAAGCACGAAGGCCTGAGCAGTGGACAAGGTAAAAGTCCTGCCAAGATGAAGGGCAAAAAAAAAGATCCTGGCAACCAATAAATGTGTCTGTGTTGTTCACATACTGCCTTGGATTGAACCTGAAATCAGGGGAATATGGGAGAAATCGCAGGGAAAGCAGCTTAAAGGGTAAAAAAAACCCACCACAGGCACACGTGCATAACTATCAGCCATCACTCTCTGGTGGAAAACCTCTTAGCTCCAATTTTGATGATTCCACAGACATTTTAAGGTTATTCAATGTCAGCCTATAAAAAAAATAAAAGAAAGAAAGAAAGACAGAAACACCATTTGATAAGTTGCTGAGTTTTTATCATGGGTAAAATATAGAGTTTAAATGAACTGAATGCCTGAGACGTTAAGGTTTATTTATACAGTTAAGTTGAAATAAAACGCTATTTATAATATTCCTTTACTGTAAAGTAAACGAGTCTGCCCTGCAGGGTAATCAAGTCTTGATTTGAGAGGCTGTAATCACGGTAGTTAACCCAAACGTTCTTATGCAGAAGCATCCACCGATGCTTCTGATATGAATGAACAACACATGAATGATTGCTGATGTTTATTTTTGTACATCAATGTATACTGTTCGTAAGGTATGTAGGTGTTTGGCTCGCTCGCTGTGATCATACTCAACCTACTGGGACAATCGTCAGTTCCTACTGGAAATAATAAAGGCAGAATAAGCAAGTTTAAATAAAAGCAGTCCACTGCTGACGACCTTCAAACACGCTGTAAAATGTGCGTTGACGAGAGGCTTCGTTACATCATACTAGTTCCGAAATCATGCACGCATCTTCTTGGTAATGGCAGTAATTTATATCATATCTTATTGAAATAAAAATTAATTTTGTTACTCCTGTGGCCTCAGCACCTTCGTTCAAATCCTACATCAGTACAAGCAACCCTTTGAAAGCCAGACTGCCAGGATCACGCTAAAGTAATTTATCATCGAATAATGTCCCCTGACACGAGTATAAAAAAAAAGACAACTTATTATCTATCATCTGCAATAAAGTTCATCTCATTTTTATCTCTCATTTAGTGCGATGCAGCGGTGGGAAACACACCCCTGACATAAGGCGTCGCCCGGAGGCTCGGTGAAGATGATTGAATTTCATAGCTACTTACGGGCTAATAGGGCCGTACAATGACTACTTACTGTCCTTAAGTGACTGGCTGCTTCTCTGTGGCCGCGGCCCCTTTGAAGCCCTTCTGAGGAGATCTAGAGGATTTAGTCAGTAGCGTGACATGAGGCTGAGCAGTTGAGCAACAGTGCTCCCACCAGCTGACTATTAGAACCAGCTGATAAAAACACAGAGGCTACAACTATGGGAAGCACCAGCGCTCCAATGGTTGCTCAATGCAAGGCTTTCTCACACTGCAGACTTAACGCTTTGAGTCAGGCTTCTCAGGGAAAACGTCGGGTTTGAATGAGGCGCGAGGGGATTTTCAAGCTGACGCAGCCGCAAAAAAAAAAATCACTTAATTGCTGTTATTCAATGGAGCAAAAATCTCAAAAATCTAGTTGTTTTTTTTAGCTTCTCAAATGTGGCACTTTGATGCTTGTTTATATTATTTAATAGGGTCAATACTCAATATAAATGAAAACTGACTTAATAATAACTAGTACAGGCGCTGGTGTTTATTTTGTATTAAATATGACAGTCAATAAACATGTTTTTTTAGTTAAAAAAAAATCAAAATCATTCTATTAGATTTAGTTTTATTTTATTATCATAATATTGCCAGGCTGTACGTCCTTCCTGTAACGTACAGATTGGGAGTATCGTAAGACTGCCGGATTGTTATTTTTTGCATGTGTATTTGTGTGTGTCCTAAAGAAACTAACTGAACTGGTGAGCTCGTTACACACAGAGGCTGTTTCCACATACAAACCACTTTGTCCTGATCATGCTGTTCCACTTACAATCTTGGAAGACCAAACCATATATGCATGTGC